TCAATAAAGTGGCTAAACCTTCACGAAGAGAGAGAGAGAGAGAGTTATATGAAATATAAATTAAATGAATTAAATTCTCACTCAATATTTGCCATCTTCTCCAAGATTTCAATCTTTAAATCAATCGGAAAATCAACTAAAAATAAAAACATTTTATAAATTTCCGTTTTATGAAAACATAATTTCTTAAATAATAATCAAAACAAATACTTCTATCAATATATGGATGTAATTGTTTGAGAATGTCTTGAAGTGCGAGTCCTTTCTCTCTCTTCATTTCGAGCATATCTGAGAAAAACAAATCAATTCATGAGATATCAAATCAAAGTCCACACAAACTGCGAGAACACATACTCTCGTAAATAGTGGTAAACTTTTGGTTGAGAAGCCAACTGAGGATCTGCTCGATGTCTTCCTTCAGGGGCCGACCGCAGCAGAGGTAGACATTGCGTTCATCGACCACATCGAAGGCGGCAGAAGTGGCCTGTAATACGTTCAACACTTTACGCATATCGCCGTCAGACAAGTCAATCAACGCCTTAATGCCCTCATCGGTCGCGTTAATGCGCTCTTCGGCGGCGATAAACTTCACGCGCGGTATTATCTGCGCCGCGCTTAACGGCCCGAACCGGAATCGCGTGCACCGCGACTGTAGGGCCGGTATTATCTTCGAGAGATAATTACAGATCAGACAAAACCTGGTGTTCACCGAAAACTTCTCGATTACTAGATATTAAGGCAAACAATACATTAATTATGAGTTCAATTGGCGGACAAATTGTAAGGGAAAAGTGGAGGAATAGGTATGAGTAGTAGTAATGGTGTACTTCTTCGGAGTGCATTCTGGGCGTCGTTAGTCATGGCATCGCATTCGTCTAAAATGATTAGTTTGAAACCAGACTTGAATACGGCTTTAGTGGACGCAAAGTTCAGTATCGGTCCTCTCACGACACCGATGCCCCTCTCGTCCGACGCGTTCAACTGATCCACACGTGTGGAGACAAAACACCAGATTAACACATCATATCCGCAACGAGTGTTGTCCGCAAAGACCAACACAACAACAACACTAACCTCGAGAACCATTGACGACATTTGTTGCGGTGAATACAGCTGTCGAGCGCAGGACAGTATCGTCGATGTCTTGCCAGTGCCGGGCGGGCCGTACAGCAGGAGGTGAGGCAATCGACGCTCGGCCATGAATTTGCTCACTGAGAGAGACAGAGATAATGAGATCAAAGACATGTTGAGCGTTGTCTTCAGCATAACATACGAGTGCTGACGATATTCTGGTGCGAAATCAATTGATCCAAACTTCTTGGTCTGTATTTTTCAACCCTTTTTGTTGTTTCAAAACAAATCATTATTTGCGATAAAATAAGATATAAAGCGATGGGATATGCAATGGATTACCAGTGAATGTTTGGGTTTCCATCGGCGGTAACCGTAGAGGTGGACGACTTGTCAGCGGTTCCCATGTCTTGACGTATTGAAAGACAATATCGTTGAATGTGTTTGTGTTTTGTCTGCGAAAACGCGCGACTATTTTGTGTCTGTATTTACAATGCATTGCAATATTCATGCCATTAGTGCCACACTTTGGCCATAAAATGCATACAATTATACACTTTTCAATACTTTGTCAAAACTTTTTGAAAACTTTTTTTTGTGTTGTTTTAATCTGAACTTAAAGCCTGAGTCTTGAGTTTAATTGATTTAATTAGTTTATTAAGCAGAGGAATAGCCAATCGATGTCTTATTAGCAACAATTTTATGCTGAATTGTGGTTAAAAATTGTATTTATATTTGATTGAAAAGGTATACATACCTGAGGTATGGGAACAATGTACTGAACCCCAAGGTCTATGACATTCAAATGTATTGATAGGTATATACAGACATTTAGCACAGGTATGAGCACAGGTATGGGCACAGGTAAGGGACCACCTCTACCTCCAAGAGCTCCCATTGATAGCTCCACTCACAGACATATATCGTGCCAACAAAAGGGACATCTTTTTTATGAAAACAGGTTCTCATTAATACATGTGTTATGTTATCGAAAGTGATAGAAATTATATCTAACTTATTATAAACAAATCATTACAGTATACGTGTTGTATAATCAGTAATCATAGTAATAATGTTTGTCCACATGTTTATAATTAGCAATTGATTTGAAAAATTACTTTAACAAGAGATATGAAAAATGATTACAATTGCAATAATAAAAGTGATGTTTATATTTGAGTTCATAAAACTTTATAGAAATTGACATTTCTTTTTAAAAAATTGTTTTTTACATAAGAAAAAGGGTTTTAAAAAACAATGACTTTGAGATTAAAGTCTATCGATATTCTCAATGATTGCAGAATTGAGAGTAAAAGCGACAAAAAGAGGCGAAAAATTGGTCAAAAACTTAAAGAGTTATCAAAATTAATGACAAATTTGCGTTTAATAAGCATCGAGTGGAACAAGAAGTGGAACTCATTGGTGATTATCTTCAACAATGGCATCATTTCATCGGTGTATATGAACGCCA